CAGCTGCGTCACGCCAAGAGCGCATTCGCTATTTACAGTACGTAAAGTAAGTCTAATTGGAAAATCTGAGCTTTTCACAAGCAAACAGTTAACAGTTATTTTTACAGAAAACTGTTAAACAGAGCATCTACTGCGTGAGAATGAGAGATAATGGATCTACTTTCACATTCGCTCTTGGATAGGGAAACCTTTACGCACAGACTTCAATTAGTCTATAAATAATTAATTGTGTTTGTTAAGCGCAAATATTAGTTTCAAAACTATTTCTAAATTCAGTTCTAATTTCCAGCAAACAAATAAATGAACAAAAATAACTCAAAAACCTGAGTTATATCCTAAAACACATGCTGTGCCCCATATGGTCTAAAACATGACAGGTGGGCAAATCTAAGCTTGTTTTTAATAAAACAAATATAAATATGGATATAATAAATAATACTGCTAATAATAATAACATTATACAAAATCAAATTGTTATGAATGAACTGAAAAAGCCTCCCGAGATGAAGAAGCCATGAAGGCAGTGGTTTTTCATATTTATGTAGGCTAGAAAATAATATGTTTTGTAATATTTTAATCCTTTATATTTATATCCTATATCTATTCTTATTATATCCTATATATCCTTAATATTTACATTTTTTCATATGTAAAGATATTTGCCTATTGCTCTCTTGTGTGTATTAAGCAGTGTGTAAGCGAGGTGCAACTCTGCGCCGGAGTTTAGACCGGGTTTGTTTTGGTCTAATGAAAAATCTATAATAGTTTCTCAAAATAGCAACGCTTCAGTAATGCACCTCAGAACGCCTTCCTATTTAGACCAGAACGCCTATGAGCGCACATATGAGCGCAAAAGCATTTGTGCATTTGCTATTTAAACAGTGTAGAGCAACGCCTCAAAACGAATCCTGCGCCAAGCTGAAACTACCAAAAGACTATTGCGCCACATTGCGCTGGGTGTATGATAGGGCCCAAGAAGTCTCTCATAGTTTTCAATGGCTTGTTGTTTGCTGCTGACTCAGGAAATGATCTTGTTCTTTTGCTCTTAGGTCTTACTCCTGCTTTTGACACAGAAGATGTTGCTTTCTCGCTTAGAGCATTGTGTTAGTATTAATAGTACTGCATTGGGATGGTTTCTGTCATATTTATCTTACAGAAGCTTTTCTGTCTGCTTTGGGAAGTTTATCATCAGCACCTCTCTCATGCGAAGTACGTCACGGTTCCATTCTTGGACCAATTCTGTTTCCTTCCATTAGGGTCTGTTTTTTAGGAGCTATTATTTAGTGCAAATGTGCTGGGTCTATAACTCCATTGTTGGACTGAGTTAGAGACATTAAACCTTGGTTGGCAGACTTGCCACTAAATGTTCATTGTACAATGAGGAAAAGAAGGAAGTGGGGGTATTTGGATCAGAGTTTTCTCAGGATTTTCCGGATTTTGTTGTTTTAAATCCTTATGTAAATCCAAATGTGAAAAACCTGGGTGTTATTATGGATAGTGACTTGAAGCCAATGACTGTAAAAAATATGGACGACGCGACAGCCCTTTTTCCCATTGAACGCCTTGAGGGCAAAACGCCTGCTTGACGGGCACAAACTGTCGCAAAAGACTGCTGAAATTGGAGCCAGACATGCGCAGAAGGATTGTCTGATGGAGCCAGAGGAGGAGCCGTGAAAATGAGCGGAGTCGAGCTTCCAATCAAACGCATTATGTAAAATCAACCACGCCCCCCGAACTTCTCAGCATGCGTTTGCTGTCATATCAACACAAATGGATGTAATAACGTTAACAAATATGAGGGTTTTATATATTCAATCGTGCCAGCTCCAGGCCGCAGCGCATAACTTACTCGCGGCGTCGCGGGCTGATTCCGGCTCGCATGCGGCAGCGCCGGCTCGCTCGGCCGCCGCATCTGGCTCGATTGACTCGGACTGGAATCGGGCAGTGAGTCCAGGCATCTGGAGTAGGTCCAGCAGAGGTAACATTAGTCAGTCTGAGCTCTAAGAGGTAAGTCTCCGGCAGGCGAGAATCTAGTCGGAACTGTGTTTTGCTATCTGGGTGGCTAGGCGTGTATCAGCAAACTAATAAAGCCCGAAAAAAGCCCTGAACTTAGCGAATAAACAGTGTTCCACCAGGATCATGTATGTCAGAAACTATAGTTTACTGCTGAACTCATTTTGTCATGGTAAAATAACACAGAAATCGAATAATAACATTTCAGTCTACTTCAGTCTCCTGCCGAAGCTCAGACGCCGCGCTTTGAGAAACTGTCAATCACAGCTGTCAATCACGATGACACGCCCAGCATTAAATTACTGCTAAAAACAAACTGTTTACAAAAATGAAGATCTGCACCTATTTCAGCACAATAACCAGTGCCTTAATCGACCAGAACTATCTTTCGGGATATTTTATTGCAAGTGTAATATTTTTTTTTTATTTGGGCTCAAGTCTCCTTCATTAACACGGAGGAGTCGGGCTTTATGACTTGTACTGCAGCCAGCCCCCAGGGGGCGATCTAACGGCCGAAACCTTCACTCAAACGTAGGCTTGCGGCACACTTGCTTGAAGCTAAAGCTTAATTCAGTAACTAAAACTATTTTTTCAAAATCAAGTCTTTTTTTGTCTTTTAACAACTTTGAAAGGGCTATGCATACTTTTATTGCGGCTAGGTGAGATTTATTGTAACGCCCTTTATATGAGTATTACTCATGCTTCCATGAATTTTTCTGCTCGTTTGTTGACAGGAACACGCAATCAAGAACACATTACACTCATACCGCTTCTCTTCCCTGACTTCCTGTTCATTTTAGAGCCAATTTTAAGAGTTTAGTCTTGGTGTTTAATCTCTAGATAGACTAGCACCAAAATAACTGTCTGCTTGGGTTTTTGAATGACGCTGAATTAAGCACTCGATGAGAGAATTTATTTCTAATGGGAACAGAAAGAAATGTAGATAATGAATAAGTAACGGCAAAGTAACTCAAAAGTCATGTAATGCATTACTCATAAGTAACCGAACTAACATGAGTTACTTGTTTGTGGAGTAACTCAGTATTGTAATGCATTACTTTCAGGAGTACCTTTCTCCAGCTCTTGCTTTTGGCTATTCCACACACAAGGTTAACAAACAGGAGGAACTGTGCTTTTGCAGTGGTTGCACCAAAACTTTGGAATAATTTGCTTCTCCATGTTAGAAAAGGAAAACCCCTTTTTATTTTTCATTCATTCATTCATTCATTCATTCATTCATTTGCTTTTTGGCTTTGTCCCTTATTAATCTGGGGCCGCCACAGCGGAATGAACCACCAACTTATCCAGCATATGTTTTACGCAGCGGATACCCTTCCAGCTGCAACTCATCACACTCATACACTCTCATTCACACACATACACTACGGACAATTTAAGCTTACCCAATTCACCTGTACCGCATGTTGTTGGACTGTGGGGGAAACCGGAGAACCCAGAGGAAATCCACATGAAAGCGGGGAGAACATGCAAAATCCACACAGAAATGCCAATTGACTCAGCCGTGGCTCGAACCAGCGACCTTCTTGCTGTGAGGCAACAGCACTACCTACTGCGCCACCACGTCATTCTGCTTTTTATTTTTAAATGATTTATTTGTCTGTATGAGTCTTATGTCTGTTTTATTTGTCCTTTGTTTTAAATTATGAATGCACGTATGACACTTTCAACCCAGGCTTATTTAAATTATGTACCCCTATATACATTTCTGGAGAGCGCCAAATAGGACATCCATGTAGCCAAAGAAATAGAAAACGCCATTGCCTTTGTAACATGTAACATTGAAAACAAAAACCGCTTGAATACGTACCTCTCGGGACGTAAATCATGGTCCGCAGAAACGCCGCAGGGCTACGTTTCCACAATGAGCCCGGGTTGGATGTAATGCTATTTATGAAAACAGAAAAAAATAAATTTTTTCTCAGAGGATCAACCAAAACATTTTTCAAAACATGGGACCCTCTAATAATTCATATTGAGACTAATGTACTCCAACAATAAATTCTCAACCCCACCCCCCACCCCCCACCTTTTTTTACATTTATTTATTTATTTTTTATTTATTTTATTTATTTTATTCTCATTATTATTATTATTATTATTATTTCTTATTATTATTAATAAATTTTTATTTAATGCATTTCCTTTTCATAATAATTTTTATTATGTTCATTTGTCTCTGTTTCAAATTAATGTATGGTTAAAAAAAAATGAAAATACCTTTGTCATTGAATACCTGTACTGTACTGTACCTTTTGTCAAAAACACAATAAAAAAAATAATATATTGCTTACTTAAATTATTACAGTATTAAATGTGGGAAATCATTAACTAAAAAGTTATTACAAAAATTTAGCAAATGCACACTATTAAAATATAATAATAGTAATATATATATTAAAATAAATTAACACTGAAAGTTATTTTTAAGATTATATAGTTTAAGTTATTTATTTAGCTTATTTATGAAGACAGGGCAGCACGGTGGCGCAGTGGGTAGCACAAACGCCTCACAGCAAGAAGGTCACTGGTTCGAGTGCCAGCTGGGTCAGTTGGAATATCTGTGTGGAGTTTGCATGTTCTTCCCGTGTTGCCATGGGTTTCCTCTGGGTGCTCTGGTTTCCCCCACAGTCCAAAAACATGTGCTATAGGTGAATTTGTTAAATTGTCCAAAGTGTATAAGTGTATGGGTTTTTCCCAGTGATGGGTTGGAGCTGGAAGGTCATCCGCTGCGTAAAACATATGCTGGATAAGTTGGTGGTTCATTCTTCTGTGGCGACCCCAGATTAATAAAGGGACTAAGCCAAAAAGAAAATGAATGAATGAATGTTTATGAAGACTGCAGAGTGATGTATAAAAAATGACTGAATAATTCTTTAAATAGTTTGTGATTTATGTTAAAGTGTGCCCCCTAAAAGTAGAAGTGGCCCCTGCCCCGCCCCCCCTGTTACTCTGGTCTAGAACCGCCACTGAACATTAACATCCATCGTAACTATATCTAGTTTGCCTAGTGTGTGCCAGACTGTGTGTGCCTAAAACGTGGGTGGATCTGCGGTCCTGCTGCTGGATATTATTGGGGTGGGATCCTACAGAGAGGCACAGACGAACTCAGACTGAAGACGGAAAGACTGTGGGTGAGTAAAAACTCTCTCAAAACAGCAAATGACCTCATTGGTATTTACTAATCAATTCATTGTCAGCCGCTGGAGAATCTTGAGCGCATGTGCATGCTTGTTTGTATTATACTTTTAACCTTCAAAATACTTATGAGTATAGAAAGCCGAGTGTAATAATGCTGTATGGTCAAATCTGCTGTGTTTATCACAAAACTATATTTTTCTTTTGTTCATCCACTAAAACAAAGCAAACAAAAAAATTTTTCATGCCTTTCTACTTCTATCAGTGATCCAGTGCTAAAAGTAATGAATGCACGTCTGCTTTACTGGCTCATCTGTTTTGTTTACTTTGATTTTATTTAGAATTAAAGCTTTTTCTCATGTATAAATTACCTATTCTGTGTTTCATCATACATATAAAGATGCGTTAGTGCTGTTTTAGTGTCATCATTTCATTGCATTTTATTTCACACATGATCCATATATTATGTTCAAAATTATTGCAGTATTTTTGTGTTGGTGATGAATGTTCATGAGAATTAATTCAATCCATATACTGATAAATGTTGAATCGTGATCGTTAAAGTGTTTATTTACTGTTAATCTTGTTCACACTTTATTTTGTTTTTGTTTTAATCATTTATTTAACCTCTGAGTATATTAATAAGTACATGCATCTACGGTTTGGTAAAGTTTGGGATGTGATTTAGGTTTATTTGTATGTAATTTTGCATAATTCATTGTAATTACTATAGTAAGTACATGAAAAATGACACCTTAAAATAAAGCGTGATCATACTCTAGTACTTCTTTATTAGCTATGGTTAAATCTCCCCTTTGTTATTTCATATCTTTTGTTTCAGTTGATAAATGAAAGCCATGACTGTAATAAATGCAGTGCAGATCTTCATGTTGCTGTGGGGTTTCATCGCAGTCTGCCAAGCTGATATTGGTAAGACAATTAACTTACAGTGTGTGAGAGAAATGTGTGGAGGAAGGAATGTTTAGGGCTGCCCATGTTTTAGCTCTGAGAACAATTTACCATCCATGTAAAACCCACTGATGTCAGGAAGCTGTATTGTTTATTTGTTTTAGACTTGCACATTGAGTTCTCTCCACTAATAAAATCTGATGCACATCAGAAAGTGTCAGGATAAGACCGTAAACATTGTAATTGCTATTATGTTCAAGGCTTCAGACCTCTCATAGAGCAAACAATTTCTTTATTCTTTCAATTTCATATTAGTTCAGTCTGTCTTTACACTTAAAAATACACTTTGAAACAACTAAAAAATATTTTATTTGTATAAATTACCTTTGGTTCAAACTTTACAATTATATACATTTAAAGTATTTATTGTGGTCAAGAAATAAATATATTTACAATTTAGTTAAAATATTGTTTATTAATGAGTTTTTTTGTTTGTTTTTTTTTTGGTATGAGGTAGACAACATGTCATTTTTAACCCCAGTTCAAAGTATAATTTTGCATTTGACCAACCTAAAAAATGACTGTAATGTGTTTAAAAATTTATAAATGCCCCTCAAATTATACTTTTAATTTGGTTTAAAATTAAAAAAAAAAAAAAAAAAAAGCATGTTAATCATTATTTATTCTGCCCAAGGAAACATCGACTCAAAGGTAAATTTTAGTCTGTATACAGGGCTTTACATTAACTTTTTTAATCACTGGTCACTGTGGCTAGTAGTTTTCCAATGTTACTAGCCATGCTGCATTTTCACTAGCCACAATTTTGTTGTTGGGAAAATATATTTTATATGCATAAATTTGACGTTGACATGCTAAAATTACTTGATTTAAATTTGATGTTATGTCCACATGCCTCCTCATTCATTTCCCTTTTTGTGTGTCGAGTATGAGCTTGCTAGATGAGCATGAGCAAATGGGTCAGGGTTTCATAGTGTTATATTGCAGTTAGTTTTAATTTCACATGACTTTTTTTTAGAGCTCAAAATTAACGATTTACCAAATTTATCTCTATAACCACACGAAACAATAATTTTAGCCACAAATTTGTAATGTGTCAAAAAAGCAAAATATAACCGTATACTATACTTTTTATTTAACAAAACATTTCTTAAAAACAAAGAAAAGCAATTCACTATTAAAAAATAACTATTGTCATGTATTAAAAATTTGTTCTTTTGTATATCTGAATGAACGTGAAACTGAGCGCAACATGCATGAGCACAAAACCCCTCCCTGCCTCCTCCCCCGTATGAATATGCTAATGACTCTACTTTGGCAAAACCCAACGAAAAAGCAACGGCAAAAGCAAGCCAAAAGAGAAACTTTAAACAGAATGTGAATTGTAGGTGCTCCTTTCAGAGGTAGACCAGAGGAAAACGGTGTTATTTGCAAGTTTGTTCTCCGGAATTAACAACAAAAGAAAAAAATAGAGTGGGAGAGTTTAGCTGATGCGGTTTACAGAGTGAATTAGAAAGGAAATAGTGTGATTTATAGCTGTAAAATGTTGCAATTCCCTTAATAGTCTCAGTGACGCAGCTCGTTAGACGCATGTCAACATGTTTTGACAAGTTCAAGCATAAACTCGGTTCGAATCCAGCGTCTGATGAACTCTTTCTTCTTTTCTCCCCCGCTACATATCAGATTTTGCCAACTATTTATCACGAGAAAGACAAGTAGGAATCATTAATAAGTTTGTGCATCATATTTTATTTGCACATTTATTATATGGAAATGTTTCTGATTCACGCATGCAAATTCATCTTCAGATAGTGTCTTTATAGCAATGTGCGTGCAGTAGATGGCTCAGATTACATTGGGAAAACAGGCGACCGCTGCAAATTGTGCTTTAATGTTTAGCTGCTCAACTGCATGGTATGGAAACCTTATATACCTGCTTGATGAACCCGTCATATACAGCTGCCATTGCAAGGCTCAGACACTTTGTAGAGAAGAATTTAACACAACTGCCTCTAGGAGTCGCCAATGGAAATAAAACAGACACGCACAAAAAATGTGCGTACGCCTGCGAGAAAGCTGCCGTGAAGCTGCGCACATTCCCACGTTCAGTTCATCGTTAGTAAATCCAAACGTGAGCGATTCTGAGCGTGAAACCTGGCATACGCAAAGTTTTTGTGCGTACGCAGCGTTGATACATGAGGCCCCAGGGCCTGTGGATGCATGTTCATCACTTTTTTTGTTCTAAACTGTTGTTTTCATTTAGTAACAAATTGGTAGCAGAGGATGGTTAGCAATTACAGAGTCCCTCCAACCTTTGATGAAGAAAAGCCATATGAAAGCTGGAAGAATGAAGTCGGATCATTTGTTTCTCAGGGAAGAAAAGGACCGTACTTATGAGGCGTATATGAGCTTTGACCGCATTGTGAAAGGCAGTAATGTTTCAATGACGGACTATATAATTGACTTTGAACAACGCTAGTTTCGGATGCACAAATATAAAATGGAACTTCCTGATGCAGTCTTCGCTTTTAAATTATTGGATACTGCTTGCTTGGATGTGAAAGATCGACAGTTGGCTTTAACAGCATGTGCAGATCTGACTTTTGCGTCAATGAAGTCGGCACTTAAGAGAATTTTCACCGGAAATACGTCTGCATTAACGGTGAAAATTAACCAGGAAACTGCATATATAACAGAACAGAGACGACAGAGAGGCAAGTCATGGCCTCAGAATGACCAACAAAGGACACCATTACCTGGCACAAACCCACTGAATAGATATGGTCGCAGATCAAAATGTGCTGTTTGTCAAAGTACGTTTCATTGGGCCAAGGACTGCCCACACAAAGGTGAGCAAATCAAACTGACTGAAGATTGTGCAAGAAATAATGTAGAGGAATGCAACATCGCTCTGTTTACAGAAGAGTTACACACTGAAGCAGAAATCCTCATGACTGAATGTTTTGGATCTGCAATAATAGACACTGCATGCACTCAGACTGTGTGTGGACAAGAATGGCTAAATCATTACATAACTGAGCTCAATCAAGAAGAGACTAATGATCTAAGAAAGACAGAAACATACAGCCATAGACCATTTAGGTTTGGAGATGGAAATGTGGTCTGCTCCAACAGAAAGTTAAAAATTCCTGCAAAAATTGCACAGATCAAATGTAAGATTGAAACTGAAGTCGTTCCAGCCAACATACCATTGCTCTTAAGCAAAGCCTCTCTGAAAAGAGCAGGAACAGTTTTAGACATGGAAAATGACAGAGCGGTAATGTCCAACCAGCCAGTAGAACTTGACTTTACAAGTTCTGGTCATTATTGTGTAAATATAATGGACAACGAAAGTAGCTCAAAAGACATGCATTCTAATGAGCAGATTTTGACAACTGCTGAAGACATTATGCAAAATGTAAAGGATGATGAGAGTGAAATTTTGATCATTTCAGATACAATGAGCTCAACAGAAAAATGTCACATTATGATGAAGCTTCACAAACAATTCGGCCATGCTTCTGTTAATAACTGCAGCGACTACTTGACAGCTCAGGTTAAAAAAATGCTGAATGTAACATCATCTTGAAAAAAATTGTAAGTGAGTGTGAGATATGTAATAGATATGGTAAAGCTAAACCAAAGCCTGCTGTTGGCCTACCACTGGCAACACAATACAACGAAACTGTGGCTGTAGATCTACATGAACTTGAACCAGGTGTCTGGTATCTCCACATCATTGACCAGTTTACTAGATTCAGTGCAGGCATCATTCTAACCTCAAAGAGATCCTCTGAAATAGTCAAAAATGTTCTCCATGACTGGATAAGCGTACACGGCCCACCCCAAAAAATATTTAGTGATAATAGGGGAGAATTCAATAATGATGAGGTGAAATATATGCAACCCGGGCTCATTGTGGAAACGTAGCCCCGCGGACGTTTCTGCGGACCGCGAGATACGTCCCAGGAGGTACGTAGTCGAGCGGTTTTTGTTTTCGCGGATCCGCGAGAGGCCGCTGTGCGCGCTTTTTCGTGTCTCGGGCGCCTCTCGGGAGCGCGCGCCCGCGCTGTTCTCGCGTGAAAAGCCGCCGGATCGACCGACCCTGCCGCCCTCCTCTTCCTCCTCCTCCTCCTTCCCTAAACCCAAGCGACGGTTTGCAAAAGCCGTCCAGAAAAAAAAAAGCAAAAGCCCTCGTCTTCGATTTCAACCGCGTTTTCGGATCCCGCCGCGTTCTCGCCCTTATTTTTCGGATTCTGTTTTTCATCTTACCTGATTTCTGGAACCGCTGTTCCCAGGACTCGATCCCGGTCGTCGTCCTTGCAGTCGGCTCCTCCGGGGCCTCCACTCCGCCGACGCAACGCTGTGAGCTAAGCGGACAAACTGGTTGCATCGGGAAAGCCCTCCACTCGGAGGCGAGCCGTCGGCCGGCGAGCGCGAAGAGGAGGAGCGGAGCGGCGCCACACCGCCCCGCAGCGTTCGCTCGAAAAAAACTAAACGCGGCCGTACGTACCTCCGGTCACGTAAATCGTGGTCTCCAGAAACGTCCGCGGGGCTACTTTTCCAGAATTTGTTTACTCGCTTTAACTAACTAATCACTTTTTACATTGTGGACAAAAAGAAAAGCGCTAGATTACGTCATACGTTAATTTGTATATTACTGATGTCATCACACTTTACCATTTCTGTTTGTTTAACAGCCTTTATTCAATAAAAGAGGTATTTATATTTGCTCTACGCTTTATATAAGCATGTCAATTTACTTAAATTTATTGCTGTTTGAATACAGTATATCAGCATAGATGTGTAGTGAATTTGCAGTAATCGCTCAGATAATAAACTCAGACAAGTTCTGAAATTGTCTCTAAAATATCTGTGATTGTGAACAAGAAAATAATAAATAGGTGTGTAATAAATACTTTTTTAAAGTTTGAACCACAGTTAAATTATACTTTTAGAAAAACTGAATAATTTAACTAACAAATTAAAGTCACTTTTTTTAGTTAGTTCAAGTGTTAATTTTTTTCAGTGTATGGTTTGCACAATGTAATATATTAATATTAATGATGTCAATATTGTATACTCTATACCCTGTTTCATAATAGAAAATATTTGACTATTCTTTTCAAATTCTACACAATCCTAACTACTGGGTCAAAAGTTAAGTGTACAAAAACCCACAATGCAAGATTTTATTTATGAATATGTTTTCTAACGATCCAGTGTCTCGGTGTATACATTTATTAAATGACTGACGTGGACACACAGAAATGATCTTGTTTTAAATCGTGTCAAACATTTTATTATTCTTCTGTTGCTGTTTATTCTTTATTTATTTTCAGGTGACTGTGGTGTGAGGTGTAATGATGTGACTGGAACTGTGGGGAAAGAAATGATTTTCGCCTGCAGCGTCTGTGAACAGTCCACTAAATGCTGTGTTAAACTGTATAAGTTTCAGTATCCTGAAAAATATAATGACTCAGAAATCTGTAGAGAAGGGTCTGTTGATGGCCCCTGTAAAAAGTGGAGCATCTTCACATGCAAATACACTCCACATACAACAATGAATGAAACATTCAGATTCTTTGTGCAAACTGCTGGCGCTCCAGAAAGAAAACAATTCACAGTGAATATAACAGGTACTGCATGCAATATCTGTTTATATATTTAAATCTACTAATATTATTTTTAACATTTGTCAACAGAGCCTGTTAAAATTGACTCTCCTGGCATTACAAGTAGTGTATTTTATTCCACTCTGCTACTTGATACTTGGAGTAGTATTAATACTTGATTATTGAATATGAGTTCAATTCATTGTCACAGTATGTATACAAACATTCATTTAAACAAACAAACATTCGGCTTAGTCCCTGATTTATCACAACAGAATGAACCGCCAACTACTTAAAATATTTTGGATAAATTTGGAAAAATTTCTAAATGAAATGAAGATTGTACACAGTCAATAGGCTAAAGCTTTATGAATTAAAGGGCACCTATGGTAAAAAATCTACTTTTCAAGCTGTTTGGACAGATCTGTGTGTTGGTATAGTGTATAGACCGTCATACTGGGGTGATATGAACACACCCAGTCCTTTTTTTTCAATTTAACTACAAAAAAAAGGGTCGGCCAATTGGAGCTGTTTTCAAATCGATCGCACCATTACGTAGGTGTGTGATCCCCCCGCCCACCAAATTGATTGACAGCTGCGCGCATTAACATGTTTCGGTAGTCGCATGTATATGTCAACAAGACCAGGCAGACATACGCAAAGCAACCGGGAATAAAAGCTCTGTTCTGTTCGCTAGGATCAGCAATCATCATCAAATGTGATCAAGAGTGAGTTTCACATGTTTAAAGTGTTTTAAAACAGAGTATGTGTTTAATTAATTACAGCGTTTTACTTCAGCTTTACTTCATCAGCACAGCCGCGTGTCAGAACAATTATAAAAGAAGACGCTTCAATCCCGGTTTGTGGAGGTTAGCCTTAACTAAGCTAAGCGCGCTCTGTCTGCCTGCCTGTGTGTGTGTGTGTGTGTGTGTGTGTGTGTGTGTGTGCGCGTTAACTTTGTAACGATATTGTGTGTGACTCATCAATGCAACTTCACAATACTGATTAGTAAAGGTTAGTTCTTACTGTAGTATTTCTCACAAACGCTACGTGAGACCTTCTTCCTTTAAGTCTGTCTGTTGTCTGACGCAGCTGAGGGAGGAGGCATGTAGTGGGCGAGAAAGTGGGCGGGAAAAACTCGTCTTAAAGGCACAGTACGACAAAACCACCCCCTGCTGGAAATCAGTATAAAACAGCATCTTGTAAAAGGTATAATGAAAAATCTGATGGGTGTTTTGAGCTGAAACTTTATATACACATTCTAGAGACGCAAAAGACTTGTATTAAATCTGAAAAAAGGGGTAACCTAGGTGCCCTTTAAATAATAATTACTGTAAAACCCATCCCTGTTATAAAACAGAAAAGTATTAATGTGATGGATAAATATAAATTAACTGTATTGGTATTTTTTTTTAAATTATGCTCTATATTAAATAATCTCTTGAATTATTTTAGAGATGTTTAGATGTGTGTGTTTGTCTAGATTCAAATCAGAATCAGATTCTCCCCACAGAAGCATTTAATCAAAGTGTGTGTGTGGGGAATCTGACTGCCTGCAGTCTGCAATGCATTATTAATATGCTAATATTATTTTAAACATCTGTCAACAGAAGCTGTTACTTCTCCAACCCCTAAAACTGAAGCTTCTGCCATTGACGGTAATACATTTTATTCTACTATGTGATACTTAAAGTATAACTAATACTTCATTATTATGCTTCAATTATTTGTTATACTTCATTACTAACACTTTAGTTTAGTGTTGTGTATAGAAATAAAGTACAGTAAAACAACTTTTTAAAAAGTATGTTGGATACATTTATAAATGAATACATGCATGCTTTCTGAGTAATAATCTTTCATATTTCAGGAGACATTTTTAGAGTTCTAGATGTTTATATTAGTCTGTGTTTGTCAAGACATCAGATTTTCCACACAGAAGCATTTAATCAAACTGTGTTTTTGGGGGATCTGAGTGTCTGCAGTCTGCAATGCATTATTAATATGCTAATATTATTTTAAACATCTGTCAACAGAAGCTGTAAATTCTCCAACCCCTAAAACTGAAGCTCCTGCCATTGACGGTAATACATTTTATTCTACTATGTAATACTAAATACTTCATTAGTATGCTTCAGTTATTTGTTATACTTCATTACTAACACCTTAGTGTTGTGTTTAGAAATAAATTACAATAAAACAACTTTTTAAAAGTATGTTGGATACATTTATAAATGAATAAATACATGCATGCTTTCTGAGTAATAATCTTTCATATTTCAGGAGACATTTTTAGAGTTCTAGATGCTTATATTAGTCTGTGTTTGTCAAGACATCTGATTCTCCACAGAAGCGTTTAGTCTAGAGTCTGCAATGGGTTGAAGTTAGCTTCATGAATTAACTAATAATTACTCTGTTGCCCATCCCTGTTATAGAGCAAGCACACAGAAAGTATTAATGTGATGGATAAATATACATTTATTAATGAATTAATATTCTGTATAAGCATTTTCCAATTGTGCTCAATATTAAACAATCTCATGGATTATTTTTTAGAGATGTTAAGATGTGTGTGTGTGTGTGTGCGTGCGTGTGTGCGTGCGTGCGTGCGTGCGTGTGT